TATACAAAGTTCATCTCTATATTCTTTTGCATAGTTTTCTGAAATTCCTAGAGTTTTTCTTCTTTTGTTTCACTGATTTTCTTATGAATATATTTATTTATTTCATATTTAAGTTTACTCTCAACTATTTCTATTAATCCTGATCGATCCTTAATTTTATAGAAACTTTCTCTTACTTGACAGAAAAAAATTTCTATGTAACATACATTGCATAGCTTCATATTTGTTAGAAATTTTACTACCTTATCTTTTTGTGTTTCTTTTGATTCTTGTTCTGTAATTCCTAAAAATTCTTTTAACAAATCTTTTGCTAATTCCTTTAAAGCTCTTTTATATTTTGCTCCTGTTTCTGAACCGCTGGCTTCAAGATTTAATGATATTTGAGTATTTTCTAGATAATCAAATAATACTCCAGATGTTTTATATCTTATATAATTAACAAAATCGATTAATGTCATTCCATTTATCATTGAATCATTAGTTTGATCTAATAATTTTAATTGGTTAGTCCAAGTAACTATTAAATCTTCTGCATTGTTTGCACAATCTATGTTTAATATTCCATTAGATGAATTTCTTTCTTTTTCTAAATACGCTGGTGGTATATTTTCTTTATTTTTTCTTGATGATAACTATAATCATTTTTATATATAAAATCTCTAAAACTGCTTTCTACATAATTATTCTATGAACTGGATGCTTCAGTGTTATTTGTTCTAGGTCGTTTTGGTGATAATGGCGGTGTTGCATGAGGTTTTTGATCAGTCATATTAAAAGTTGGTTCATCTTCATCTTTACTATCTATTCCATAGATTATTCCTTGTTTATCCCCATCACCTATTTTTGCCATTCTAGTTTCTTCAGTATTACATTTTTCTAATAATTGGGTTAAACTATCTATGTCATCCATTAGAATTTGTTGGCGGTTCTATTCGAATGTTTAAATAATTTTTTTCGTGTTTTTTTATTTTTGTACTAAATCTTGTAGTTCTTTTATTATTTCTTTTATTTCGTCTAATTTTCCGAATGTTTCTAATTGAGTTTTTTTTATTATTTCTATAAGTTTTCCTATTTGTTTTGACATTTTTTGGTGGATAACTCATAATATTTTCTTTAATAATTATTTGCCTTTAATGATTTTTCTAAATAGAAATTTCTTTTGGTTTGCCTATAGTAAACTTTGGTGTGTTTATAGCACCTTGATAGTAAAAAATTTGCCACATGTCTTGTTCTTATTGGCTCTTGCTAAAAATGGGTAGTACCCATATGGGTAGCGTGAAAAATTTTCCCGAACACGAAACCCACAAACTATTGCATATATAGCTTTATTCACTACAAGAAAATAATGAAAGTCCAACGAAAATATATTCCAATAGAATTTCAACGGCAACTCCAATGGATATTTCAATGCTATTATTTCCTTTGGAATTATTCCAACAGAAATTCCAACAAAAATATTCCGTTAGAATGAGGTTTTCATTGGAATTTCCGTTGAATTTTGACGATTCCAACGGTGGTGGAAATAAAAATACCAACGGAAATTGCATATTCCAACAGAAATTTCTACGATCAAAACCCGTTGGAATCATCAAATTCCATCTAAAATTCCAATGAAAAATACATTCCAACGGAATATTTTCGTTGGAATCATTCCAATGGAAGCTATACCATTGAATAATTGTAGAGTTACACGTCTTTCGGTCTTTGTAAATAGGATGTAGTGATACGGTCTTAAAGTTCTCCCATTTACTTTGGGGAGAGATCAATCACAATTCACACAATCCAAATTCATATGATTCCATGAGCCATAATTAAATATTGTGCTATGATTGGTTCTTTTTTTTTTTTGGCAAAACGATAGAAACTTCGTTCAACAATAACAATAGTTACAAGCCGAGAGACTAAATAGTCCCCATAAGTTCAGAACAAACATAAACAAACATAGAAACCATCCACATGATGCCTAAACTCACAAACCATAAATCAAAGAACCAAAAGCAAATAGAGGCAGTAACAACTGAGCCCTCCATCTGCTCCAATATAGACAGCACACAAAAGTCCCAATACAGATTCTAAGACAACAAATGGACAAAAACAATACAACCAAAGATGAAGAAAATTCACCACTGAACCTAAGGACCTAGCAACAAGTTCCTCCATCATTGATAATTCCTTTGCAAGCCTGCTATCAGCAAACTCCAGCCAATCTGCATGAGCTGATCTAAGAACCACATGATCCGGCATCCACACTTTTTGAAATTTCCAGAGGTTTCTGAATTTCTATTACCACCAAAGAATGTAGGTGGTTAATTTAATCCTACCTCGGAGATTCCTTTTCTATCTACAGCACATACATTCCACCACCACTGTTTAAAAGAGCCTGATGTAGCAATCTCATTCCAGCTAGCAGGAGCAAGTTTCCAAATCCTTTGAGCTCGGCTATAGTGGAAAAAGACATGTTCCACAATCTCTAATTCCTCTCCACATCCATGGCACCAAGGATCAATGTCAAGCCCTCTCTATTTCAGACTTAAGCTTACATGTAGAGAATTATTATAACATTTCGAAACAAAATGCTTAAGTTTGAGTTTAATCTTTAGGCCCAACTTCTATTCCTGACTTTCGTTTCCCACAGAGCAGATTTACTGCTTTTAGCAAGGTTCAAATTTCTAAGTTTATTAGTGATTAGCTTAGAAGTAAGAGCTAGCAACTGAGAATGTACCTTTGTTGTCCAGAGTCCACCTCTATTTATCAACCAAGCTGGGATCTAATGTGTTAATCTCCAGAATAGCCTCTCCATCCTGTGGGGTAAAGCAGTCCACAATTAAGCTTCTGTTCCAAGATCTTCCATCCTCCAGAATCAGCTCATCAACCAGTGCACAGAGTTCACTCCCTCAACAGTTTTTTCAGGCACTCCAGAAGCTACGCCAGGGATCCAAGGGCCAGTCCAGACATTGATATGTCTACCTGTCCTCACCACCACCCTGAAGTATTGCTTGAACTTATCCCTTACCAACAACCAATTAAACCACAACCAAGAGGAATTGTAATGCTTTTTTGCTTGAATGACAGAGCAGTCAGAGAAGTATTTCCCTTTAAGAACTATAGTGACCAAAAGATTAGGATGAGTTACTAACCTCCAAATCTGTTTAAGGATGAGGGCTTCATTGAATAAGCTAACATCCTTAAAACCCAATCCTCCAACCTCTTTGGGCAAAGTCACCATCTTCCACTGTTTCCAATTAACTCCAGTCTGTTGCTCTCCCTTACTCCACCAGAATCCAACTGAGAGTCTTGATAATTCCTTGCAAGTCCCCTTAGGCAAACAGAAACATTACATAGAAAATACAGGGAGTGCACTGATCATAGCCTTAAGCAAGACTTCCTTTCCCGCAGAAGACAAAAACTGAATTTTCCAGCTAAGCAACCTTGATCTCACAAAATTAAGTATATAATCAGAAGAATCTTTCTTTGATCTACCAATACCTAGGGAAAAACCAAGATATCTGGTAGATCTGTGAACATGAATACCACTCAAAATTTGACAAACAGAATTTTGTTGAGTGCACAAGGTGTTTTTACTGAAGAAGATAGAGGATTTCCCTAAGTTAACTTTTTGTCCAGAAAACAGTTAGTATTTTTTTCAGCACATGAATAAGAGTATGAGCATGAAGATCATCAGCTTTACAAAGCACTGAAGTGTCATCAACAAACATTAAACTAGAAATGGCAGGACTTTGTCTAGCAATCTTTAAGCCCTGAAACCTCCCATTCCCCATTTCACTCAAAAGCAGTCTAGAAAACACTTCAGAAATCAAAATAAAGATGTAAGGGGAACGGGGATCCCCTTATTTAATCCCTCTTGAAACTGAAATATAGCCACTCACCTCTCCACTCAGATTAAAGAAGAAAGAAGTTGTAGAAATGCAAGCCCAAACCCATTTGACAAATTTAGTGGGAAAACCCATTTTTAAGAGCACTTTCCTCACACACTCCCATTCTACTCTATCAAAGGCTTTCTCCATGTCTAACTTAACCATCATGAACCCCTTCTTACCAGTCCTATGTCTATTCAAAAAGTGACAGCTTCTTGTGCCATAACAACATTGTCTAGAAGATGCCTTCCAGGGATGGAGGGAGCTTGATTGGCACTCACAGAACAATCAGGGCAAGGTTTAATTCTAGCAGCTAAAATTTTAGAAATGACCTTATAGGCTACCCCACACAAGCTGATGTGCCTGTATTGTTTGAGAGAGGAGGGATTTAAGCATTTAGGGATCAAGGATATAAGAGTATGGTTCCAATTTTTAAGAATTTNGCAACAAGACAATCATTCATTGGTTCGAGTAATTCATTTGGGGTGTGATTGGATATAAAAAAAAGAAAAAAAAAATCAATGAAAATCCAACCACTTTTCACCACTAACTTTTTTTGACTCAAAATCTAATTCAAAATTAACTTAATCTTACTAGTCTCAATATTATCAATTTAATAATATTAATCAATCATTTTTACACATCACATCAATTTTAATTCACTATTCATTTACTCACATAATTTTAACTACCTATCACTTCTCTTCTACTTTTACATCTAATCAACGTTAATCATTTTGTTTTACATATTATTTTACTACAAACTGAAAATCCAACTAACTTTTTCAAACTTAACTATGCTTAACCAAAAGAATTAATCAAAACCAAAAAATCCAATCACATGGTGATCTTTTGACCACCAATTCAAAATGTATTTGTCATGATTTCATAATCTAGTTGTAATATAACTACCTAAATTAATTGGATTTTTATAATTTCAAACAATGTCGAACAATGAGGCAGTACCTGTACTTAATTATTAAAACCCCTCTAATAGAACTCTATAATGGTGGTGCACTATTATTTACATATCATTTATCTATGCAATTGAATTTATTCATCTATGCCATACATTTGATAAATAAATAAATTATAAAATAAAATTGCGGTGCATTACATATACATTCCGGTGCATTTGGCAGCCGAGAGATGTTCAACAAATGGCAGGCCCAACGTTGGTGGGCCGAGAATTCTGAAAAGGTAATGGAACTGTACAATGTCCAGAGGCTGAACCCAAACGCTTTCCCGCCTAGATCTGAAGATGGGTCCGAATGCAGCCCGGTGACTCCCCCACTTGCCAGGGAGCGTCCAATCGGGTATTCGTCGTCGGATTTGTCGGATATTCAGTCGACTCACTCAGGGACAGGGACATCAGAGGCCAGCTCGTCCAGGGATTTGGAGACTAATCAATGGGTCGAGGAAGATCAGCCCGGAGTCTATATTACCATTATGTCCCTGCCCGATGGCACAAGGGAAATCAAGCGCGTCAGGTTCAGGTCAGATTTATTTATTTATTTATTTTATTTACAACTAAAAGAACAAAAATGAAAATATTTCATATCCAGTCGCACCTAGAGTTAATTCAACTGATCAACTGTTTTTCAGCCGGGAGAAGTTCGGTGAATTACATGCTCGACTGTGGTGGGAAGAGAATCGAGCAAGAATAAAGAAACAATATTTGTGAACACAAGATCATTTGATCCAGCCTTCCAAATTGAGCAAGTAATTCAATATGACAAGGCTGCTTGATGGTTTTGATGCAATAGGGAAATAGTCTGTACACAAGTGGTGCAACCCTGCTGAAAGAAAAAAATCCTTTTGGGTTTTTTAGTTTTTCCTTGGGATACTTGTATTCGTGAATTTTGTGGTATATTATGGAGATTATGAATATAAGAGTATTTTGAGTATTTTGGTCTTGTAAAACAACTATTTTTCTTTTTTTTTTTTTTGGTTTTTCTTATTTTCTTTTTGTTTTTTAACAAAACGCTAGATATTATAACTCAAAGAGAATATACAAACCACGAGAAATAAGAAGCCCCATACAATCAACCCAAGGGAGGACAAAGAGAAGCACTACCAATAGTGCTCTAAACAAAAGTTTAAAAGGGAATTAAACATCTAGGCAGAGACAAGGACATATCTCAACATTTTTATATGAGAACGATTACCTTGTTTCCCACAAGTTCTATCTCATAGGGGAACCAAATATACACATACCTTATTACATCGAATCTCCTTCTATATGTTCAAAATTCTTATTAGAATCTTCATAATCCTACCTTCTTTAGATGTCTCTTGCTTAATACCTCTACCAATTCATCAGGTCGACCTAACATAACCCTCTTGAACTTGATGTATGCTCTCATACCAGCCCGATAACCGAGGTCTTAGATCTCCTAGACCATAGGTCGATAATTATACCTACCGCTCTTAGGAAACATACCTCGGCTTAGTCGACCTACTTCCCCTAAATCAAGTTAAGGGAGCTCCGATCTAGAACCGAGCTACGCAGGAGCCACGTTTCAGGACTAAGGTCTCTATGTTATATCAGTCATGTTATTAAACTTTCAGTATTTGGTTTTTGTTATTCTGTTTGATTTCTAGGCCGAACCGACAGCTCACCTCTGGTGTAGTAAACTTTAACCCATAATACATTCTATTGGATAGAACTTGCCATGTGTAATCAATCGTTCCAATTTATGTTTAGCCATTGTATTATGAACGCTGATAAATTTCTCTGCGTTGGTTTACCCAAATACTAAGCTTGCATGGATATAAATATATCTAATATAGATTCAATCTCAACTCAAGTCTAATTAAATTTTAACTCGATTATACTCTCATGAATATTATCAGTATAATTAAACAATATTAATAAATCATTTTTACATATCAAATCAACTGTAATTCACCATTCATTCAATCACATACTTTTAACTACCAATTACTTTCAATCACATTTTCTTTATTTCTAATTAAATTTACTTTAATTATATTATTTTAAATTTTTTAATATAAACTCAAAATTTACCTAAATTAACCTAATAACTTTTTTAAGTTAACCATGTATCTATATCCAAGCAAGCAAATATTATTCGTATTCGACTCCGCGTAGCTCGAAGAGCTTCGATCAAAACCCCCTCCTTTTTGCTGATACCTTTCGAAATTCAGCTGCAAAATTACACGAACAACTCCAATCGCATAGTGGTTCCGATAGGGATTTTCATTGCCAACCTGAATTTTTTGCCATGAGTTTTCTTTTCGGAAAGAGGAAGACCCCCGCAGGTCTTTATGTTCATTTGTTACGTTTTCTTTGATTAAGTTTGTCGTTTATGCAATTTCTAGTTGATTAATGACGATAATTTTTGGACTATTACTGTGTTCTATCTGTATGATCGAGACTTAGTGCTATGATTATTAGATGTGAGAGGGATTAGTTCTATAATTAATTAAATTAACTATCTTAGTGATTTTGGTGATAAATAAAGATAATGTATTTTATGAAAGGATCTTAAGCTCATGTAAACCAGGATAGAATTCAGGGGAAGCTAATCTTTTGTTAGCTATTGCGAGTTGACGGATGCCTAATAGACATATTGAAACTATTGATGACACATATTAAGAGAAAATTCTTGAGCTGATTGCTTGCGTGCTTAATTAAGCTGTTGCAGCATGTCCCTTGTACTATGTAATGACTACCAGAATTTTCTTTGTTGTGTCAGCCTTTACACAGATTCTTTTTAGATGTGAAATTTAGTTATGGTGGTACACTTTTTACGCCTCAAAATCTTCGTGAAAAAATCTTCCTGGTTTGGTGTCTTCAGTTTGGTCCTTGAGTTAGCTATTATATCGTTAGCTTCGTCAGTTTCTTTATCTTTTTGTTTCTAGTTTCTACAGCAAGTTGAATTTAATAGGTCCGTGCAGTTATTTTGTACCTGCTAGTTTGGTGTCTTGTACTTGAGCATCTAGTTATATACATATTTTTTTCTGTGTTTTGCAGAGCTTCTGCGTGAAAATAAGAGAATGCTTGATAAATCCATCCGTGAAATAGAGAGGGAGAGGCAGGGTTTACAGACACAAGAAAAGAAACTTATTGCAGAGATAAAGAAAAGCGCGAAGCAAGGACAGATGGTATGTCAATTCCAATACTGTAATAGCATCTCTTAGGTGACAATTTTTCTCAAATTTCATTTTCTTTGTCATCTGGGTTCCTTCTGATTCTGGTGTCATGCATCTGTCTGTTTGCTTAGCTTCATTAAAGCCATAATTATCCTATATATATATATATATCTTGTCGAAGTACTAGGATGTTTCAAGATTTTAACTCTACTGTCAAACTGTGTTTTGAATCATAGAATGAATATGAGCCAACACTTTAAAGTCTCTTACGAGAATAGCGAAGACGAAGGATGCTCACTTTATGGGATATGGTTTTTGAGATTTGCTGGTCCAGACCTGAAACATGTCCTTCAGGGAATGTAAACGTGTCATAGAGCATGTAATTTTAACTTTTAGTAGGTATACAATTTCTAAGCGTACGATACCACCTATGGACATTTCATTTGTATTGAACTAAAAGATGTTGTACCAAGTTCAGAACAACGGAATCTTGATCTGCAGTTCACTTAGTGGTTTGCACTGGAGCCCTGTTGCATCTAGAAGTCATCTGCCTGCTTCACATCAAGCCCTTGTGTAATTTCAATTACTTAAAAATATTTATTTTAATGCAAGTTTATTTGTTTGCAGGGAGCTGTTAAGGTGATGGCAAAAGATCTTATCAGAACACGACATCAGATTGAAAAGTTTTATAAGCTGAAGTCTCAACTTCAAGGTGTATCACTCAGAATCCAGGTATGTTACCGTGTTAGACTACTTGATGTTATCTCTATACATTTGTGCCAAAACTTTAGATGAGTTAAACAGTCGTTGGATTTCCAGAAATCAACATTGTTTCTGTAGTCCTTTTGACCTTTTATTGAATTTAGGTTTCAACAATTAAGAAATAGCAGAAAGCTCCATGAAAATAGTGGGCCCTGGTCATGACCCTGGTTTCCCTTTCAACATAAAGGATGAACCTAGATTTGAGGAATTCAAATGAAATATTTTTCTACTTTCCCTTCCCATTTGCCCTTGTTATGGCATTATAACATTGATAGTTGATTTGGTATGAAATGCATATGATGTAACTTTTCCATCTTTTGTTCTCACATAATACTCTGCTCTTATATTTTAAATAAATAATGCTTCCATCTGTTTTTAGCGTCAAATACTTCTCTTTTCAGACATTGAAATCAACACAAGCAATGGGGGAGGCCATGAAAGGCGTCACCAAGGCAATGGGGCAGATGAATAGGCAGATGAACCTTCCATCACTCCAGAAGATAATGCAAGAATTCGAGAGACAGAATGAGAAGATGGAGCTGACGAGTGAGGTTATGGCAGATGCCATTGATGATGCTTTGGAAGGAGACGAAGAAGAAGAAGAAACTGAAGAATTGGTGAATCAGGTTCTTGATGAGATAGGCATTGACATCAACTCTGAGGTACAATTTTTTTTTTTAACACTTGCACACACACACACACACACATGCATTTCATTTGTGTTTTCTTTATCTGCATAAATATTTCCATGTGTTAAGAGTTATTTTGTATTTTGGTTTCATCTTGTTGCAGCTTGTCAATGCACCTTCTTCGGCTGTAGCTGCCCCAGCTTCAAAGAATAAGGTTCCACAAGCTGAGATAACGGGAAATGATGATGGTGGAATAGACAGTGACCTCCAAGCCAGGTTAGACAACCTGAGGAAGATGTGACCCGCATTTGACTTGTAATATAATGTTTTTCTGGTGATAAATAGGCGTATTATATGTGGCTTCTAACATTTGTGACAACTGCAGCCTGTTTGGTTTGGTACAGCTTAAATTTCTTCAATATATGGATTCTTTGTATGCTTTAGTGTTGAAATATGCGGGGTTGAAGACTGGATTGAGAAACTGGACTACAATCTCGAACCTCTTCTGACTAGTTATCTGTGCATCAGAGTCGGTGCATGAATGTCTGTAGTGTTTGCCCTTTGAAAATTCATGTGGTAAATGTTGCGAAAGCATCTCCGTCTTGTTTATTGTTGCCGATTGGTGGTTTCTTTAGGTTTGACGTGTGATGATTATAGCTGCAATTGGTTCAAGGATTTGTTATTTCAGATTTGAAACCATTAAATCATATATCTATCCCTTCCAAATTCAAATTGTGTGTGTGTGTGTGTGTTTGTTTGTGTGTTTATTTATTTATTTAAATTTGGAAAACCACTCTGATTCATTTTTGTTACCATGATGTATGATTGGTTATTGTGGTTAAACTGTAAAATTTGTCGCTAATGTGACGGAGATATATGTGGTTGTAGTATTGTTCACCATTTTTCTAAAGTTTTAATAATTATGTTTGGGTTCTTTAATCTCTTACCTCGTGTTAAAACCAGNNNATTGATTTAATCTAGCGAAACGAATGGTGATGAGTAATTTGATATATTTGTATTTTGCTATAAAGTCAACAGTGGACTCCATAATGGAGCCAATTTTCACCACGTGACAAGTAAACGATACTGTATTTTCTTATTACATAATACTATATTTTATGATTACATAATACTTTTTGTTTCTTGTGCACATACTCCATTCCAACTATGAATTTTCAATAAATATATTTTGTTTCGTGTGTACATACTCCATTCGGACTATCAATTTTATTGAATGTAAAAATATAGTCAAAGTTCTTTGAATACTTCAGAAATCTATCTCAACAGAGTTTTTATATCATGGACAATCAATTTAATTGAGTTGATTTTCTTATATCATGGACTATCAATTTAATTGAGTTGATTTTCAGTTAGTAAAATCACAATAGAAAGAGCAGGATTGATAGTTGTATATAATCCTACTTAACTGACTTAAAAATTGAACCTGGAAATGAACTGATTTGATTAAAGGTTTTTGAGTTGATCACAATACAAAGAGAAGGATTGATAGTTGTACTTTAAGAATTGAAAGTGGAAATGAACTGATTTGATCAAAGGTTCTTGAGTTGATCACAATACAAAAGAGAAGGATTGATAGTTGTCTATAATCCTACTTAAACTGAATCAAGAATCGAAAGTGGAAATAAACATGAACAGAGAGGGTAACTTTTCGATGCCAAAAAATTCAGAATCCAAGTATTAGCAAACATTCATTCTTTTCACCCACCTATCTTTGAAACGTTGACCCGCAAAACTCTGAAATCGCAAGTGAAAGAATATTACCTTCACTAACTATTATTCCAGAAATCCTGTATCTACAACAAATAAATCTTGTATTTATATATATCTGGCTTCCTAGCCCAGCACATTCTACCCATTGCCTTTTACGCATACTCCCCANTTCCTCGAAAGCCGACAGGCACACCACGCACTCGGGGCCCTCCCCTGAACTTCCTTCCCTTTTGTACTTGAAGCTCGACACGGAGCTCAGCACGTACGAGTTCGATGGGCGTCGGGGTCTGTGCCGGGGATTGGCCACCTGTGCGCACCACCGCACGATGATGAGGTTGTAAAGTGCGAGGACAACGGCAGCTGTCCCCACGACCACGAGGCCGTAGTAGAGCATCGGCATGTTGGATCGAGGCTGGGAAGGGGGGCCCATTGTGGGGGGTTGGGGCTGTTGCTCTCCCATTTTTTTTTGTTTTTTTTTTCGGATGATTGAATCAAGTGGTGAGGATGATTGTTAGTTGGGTGTAACTCGTGATTAGATTGTGTTGTGGTAGGAAAAATATTGAATTTGGGGGAAAATGTGGGTATTTTTGGGAGTAACTCAGGACAAAGGTTAGATGAAGAGGGATTGAGTTAAGATAAGATTCCTCACTCTCTCTCTCTCTCATCTTCTATGGAAATTCATTTTATATATATATTTCTCGTGATGATAGGGTATGATGTTGCTGTCTTAGGGTTATGAATTTCGTGCAACTATATAATTATACAATAATGTCGTCTTCTCCAATATTTTGTTATATTTTTTATTATATATTTGCATCTCACAAAATAAAGTATACACGCTTATAAACATGAGAATTGACCGGAATAGGAGGGGTCCGGGGTGTTACCTGTGTGCCCATAGGTCCACATAATTTTATTATCTCTGCTTCATTATATTTTATGTATTGTTTCGGGCTTCATTAGAGATAAAGATATATGATAAAATATAATTAAAATTAAATGCACGCAAATAAATTTTGTCATACAACTCAAAATATCTAAGTAAAACGACTCCTCACAATTTGGTAGAATTACATATTTTATATAAAATCAACAACAATGGCTAGAACTGCAACACGCCAATACATTGTGAAATCAAAACCAAAAGTTTTATTAACAATCAAACTAATTAATTAAAAATATAAAGCAGGTAAAATAAAAATCCTATTCGCTAGATGATTTTATTAACAAGATTATTATTACTAAATTAGCAGTTAACAATTGATATAATGGTCAAATAACATGCTGATGAAACAGTGGTTCAAAGTGAGTCTCCTTCTTAGAGTTTCTTTCTCTCTCTAGAGTTCGAGTTCCCTAGTGGGATTCCTTCCTTTCTCAATCATCCAGTGCTTCTTCACCATCATTCCCCTCATTTTTTCATCCTTCTTCGATTCTCTGAGATTGATATATATGCCTTTTCTTCCTTATTGACCATGTGAGGAGGAATCGTTCCATCTCGGTCATAGTTACAACCATTTTTCTTATTATTAGGGTTTAGATATTTAGAGATAGGGTTTATCAAGTACCTTTTGAACTATCTAGTTTGGGTATTTGTGGGTGTTTTCCGTCTTCCAGGCTTGCGATCTCAACCTCAAGGTTGGAATTACGGTTTGGTTCTCTCTAGTCTCATAGAGTTTGGATAGCAGCCAAGATGGAGCAAGATCTGACCAACCAACTTCAAACATTCAAACTTTCAGACCGTGAGGATGGTGGGATTACGATAACAGAGGAGGATATACATCTGGGGAAAAGGGAATGCGAGTTGAGCCTGATGGGGAAGATCTATGGGGACAAGAAAGCAAATTTTATGGGATTAAAGAACATCCTGCAAAATATATGGCAAACTCAAAGGCCATTTCAAGCTCGAAACCTCAGAAATAATAAATTTCAATTTGTATTTCAATCGGAGGAGGACAAGAAGAAAATACTTGATGGGAAAGCGTGGTCATTTGATGGTCAGTACTTACTCTTGAAGCAATGGAACCCAGATAACAATGGTTTTCCGGAGGACGGTGATAAGATACAACTCTGGGTGCAAATAATGAACTTGCCGTTGCATTGGGTCTCTGAGGAAATTGGGTTGAAAATTGGGAAACAATTTGAGAAGGTGATTGATGTCCGTATACCTGATACGGGAGGAATTGGAGGCAGACTTGTCAAGATTTTAGTGGAAATAAACCTGAAAGAACCCATCATCAGAGGAACTCGCATCACCTTGGGGATAGAGACTAAATGGATCAGCTTCAGGTATGAAAATCTATAGACTTTTTGCTACTATTGCGGGCTGATCGGGCATGCCGACAAGAATTGCGGGAAAAAGAGAGAGGATGTGAGGTGCTTATCATTGACAAATGGAAAATTTGGGGAATGGTTGAGGGCTACTCCAAGGAATGGGGGAGGGATGAGAGGGGTAAATGTAGGAGACAAGTTTAGTTATAGGTTTGGAAAGGGGGTGGAGAATGAGGAGAACAAAATCCCAACTTCTCAAAGTGAAAAAGGGGAGGGTAGTTTAGATAAGGATAGGAAGAGCTGTTTGGCCCCAGATAAGGAGGGAGAACTAGAGTCTAGCAACAAAATTGTCAAAAGGGTGGAACCAGTAGCCATGGTGGGGATAGGGGAAGTGGTAGAAACCGCAAAACAAGTTTTAGAGGAACCAGAAAATAGAGAGGAAGTCCTAACACAAGGGGATAACAATAAGGGTAAATCTGACCTAATGTGTCTAGATAATCTAGTGGCTATTCCTATTCAATCTGTAACGCCCCACTTTATTTTAAAGATTTATCGAATTTAATTAATAAAAAAAAGAGTTAACTTTTCGCAATTCTCAATTTAATAAAACTTAGTGGGCGCTACTTATTTTACCAAAAAATAAAACTTTTATCAGAAAATGCCAACACATCAGATAAAGACAGAATGCACGAATAATAAATTATAAACGAAACTAGCATTTATTAAATTCCAAATCGTAAAGATAATTCATAATTCCAATTTCAAAACGACATAATCAAAATATCTCAACATGAGTCCCTTAAATGAGCGGAAGCAAATAAATAAGCAATAAATAAAAACATGACCACCACATGTCTTGTCTCGTCATCCGCCAACTGCTTAACCTGCATCCGTGAAGAGCAGGTGGGAGTGAGTACAGTTAAATATTGTACTCACACTATGCATATGAATAACATATAAATGGTATGGTCGCAGCATGAACATAAACAATAAAATCATGTCACATCTCTAGTCACATCAATGACTCTAGTCTCATCAAAGACTCACTCATGTACATCTATGCTCATCAAAGCTAAGCCATGCCATATAACTGAAACATGGGAGTGCGTGCCACATCAATGACACGGCCTTCTCATAGGTCTTAATGAGATTTACCTCACGGGTAACCGTATCTTATCATACGGGGACAACCGTACCGATGGCCATCAAGCTCACATCGATAGGCTACATGTTTATTTTCATACATAGATCACACCAAACTTCCATTACGATTAAAATCACACATATGCATAGATAATTTTAGAATAATCCACCTAGTACCGAAATAGCAATTAAATACTCAAGAGTCGATAGGATGAAAGCACGGCTCGTCAAACAACTACAATGGTTACGAGGTTCCTATCAAAGACTATCCAACACATAAATACACTCATATCAACATTTATATAAAAAACACTTAGGTCAATTTAGCCCATATAAGTCATATTAGCAAGCACTAAAAAAATAGATTTTATTTTCGAAAACACCACATAAATTTTCGAAACACAACCCGCGCAGCGATTTTGAAATCGACACCCAATGCAACACACAATTCATATTGACACGAAACTAGTTGCATATGAGTTCTAAGACATGCCTCTAAAATTCTTATGAAGACATCAGAATCAAATAATGTCATTAGCAAGCCTTAGAACATCAAACATATGAAACAGGGATGCTGTGAAAAATCTGGAAACATGTAATTGACAGAACCTCAGTATATTCAATATAAATGGAGTTATAGACATGCTATCAAGAAAGTTCCAAAAACCAATATGTAGCTAACTCAATTGTAAACAACTTTGCTGAAGACCACATTGTCAAATAAGGACATTATCAACAGTTTTAAGCACAAAACATTTGGGTCATAAAATCTGTCGGAACTTGGTTCAGTTTACAAATAGCACTTCGGTATTTATAGTCTAAATCATTATATAGACCTCCAATTGATCAGATTTTAAAACCAGTGGATAGACGAGAAGCATACCAACAATGTTCATGAAGATCACTTTCACATTTGAGCATGTTAGAACATCACTTTCAGACCAAACATCAAGATCATGTATTCAGCCCGATTTTTCAAAAACTGCTTGCATAACATTTTTACAAAACTCACATCTCATGCTACACTTGTCATATTGACATGCTTCTTACCTTGTTAGAAACCTAAGAGATAGTTCTACAACTTTCATTTAGAATGCTAAGGTAGATAAGGTCATTACAGAGGAGTAAAATCAATTAACATTTAGAACCACCTTGCTGTCTAAAAGTATAACTCACTACATGCTTATCCTACTTCTATCTAACACAAACCGAGCTACAGTAATCATATCAACATGAATTGTACCTCATCAGAAAGCTTATAAAGAGACCTATAACGTTCATGAAGACCATATATCTATTTGAGCACATTAAAATGCAACAAACAGGTAAAACATTCAACATAAACTTGTTGTCGGGTTTTGTTAAAACTGCTCGCGCTATATTTTTGTAAAAATCATATCTCTCTCATCTTAAATCGGATTTTCGAAATTCTAAAACTCACAGAACCAAAACAGAATGATATACATATCATATGAAGTACACAACTTCATAAAATGAGTATTTTATGCCATTTGCAGCAACACAATAGAGGCAATATAAATCAAAATATAAGTCATTTACTACATGATCTCCCTTCAACATGTATATATCCTCATATAAAATGAAACTTAGCCACACTTTAACATAAATAATAACATCTTAAATAAGCTATTAACATGAACCAAGGGTAGCCTCTTACCGTTTTCAAATGAAACACAAAGGAAGATGGTGACTCGGGTGAATGGTGTGGCTTTCCTATGCTCTCGGCTTTGCTTCCTTCTTCTAAGTGTTGGAGAGGACTTTTAATAAATCTTAGGAGGGTGGAATTCTTGTGTTCTCTGGTACTTAGCTGATGGGGGACGAAATGAAGGGAGAGAGAGGATGAAGAAGACTATAAAACATGGATGGAGACAACATGAAGGGAAAAAAATGAGGTTTGATGGCATCTTGTAAGAGCTTGTCTTGGAATCTTATGACATGGGACAAGAGTTGACTTGCATGTGATAAAAGAGGACAAAATAATGTAGGGAGGGGTTTGAAAACCGGCCATTAGCCATGGAAGAGGACAAAATGGTTGAAACAATTCAACTTTGGTGACATGTGACTAAGTAAAATAATGCCACTCTTATGGATGGTTGTGGAGCTTCTTTAATTCGGTTTTGATGTTCAAAATGGCTGAACACTACTTGCTAACATTGGTCTAGATGCCTTCTAAGAAGATGGGAGGAAAAATAAATTTTACGGAATCGAAATCTGACTTAAAATCCGACTATAACCGAAAACCGAAGAATTTGACTAAAATTTGATATTTAATTCTTGGTTGGTTTTGACGGCTGAAAAATACTATTAAAGAGTTGAAATTTTAATGGTATCAAAGGGGCTGGTTGAATTGGTTCGAAGTTCGGTTGCAACGGCTCGAAAATGAATTAAAACGGACAACAATTCGGCTTACGCGATTTAAACCGAAAATTCAAACGGCAATCGATAAAATAAAATCGAACGAGCTATATATTTATATTATCCACATAATAATATAATATATAATCACATAATCAAGGCATATAAATTATAAAATAAAATGCCATTAATTAAAATAACTCAAAAAAAATCTAATATTCAAATGGGGCGCTACAGTCTACCCACCTTACAAAGAATTCCGACCTCGGAATTCGAAAATAAAAGCAAACAACTAAAAGAAAAACTATACAAGGGACTCAAAACGAAAAGTTCGGATATCTCCTCCTAATCTCGACCTCCTTCTCCCAAGTCGCCTCAGACTCGTCATGCCGGCTCCACTGCACCTTCACTAAGCTCACCGCCCGGTTCCTCAGCTGATGGACTTTCTGGTCCAGTACGGCAACCGGTACCTCCTCGTAGGTAAGGTCTCGCTCGACCTGCAGCTCGCTGAAGTCCACCACATGGTCAGGATCGTGCACATATCTCCTCAACATCGAGACATGAAACACATCATGCACTCCCGACAAGCTAGGTGGTAAAGCAAGCCGATAAGCCAAGTCCCCGACTCGGGCAAGGATCTCAAATGGTCCGATGTAGCGAGGCCGAAGCTTCCCTTTCTTCCCGAAGCGAATCACACCCTTCATGGGCGAGACCTTCAGAAAGACATGGTCACCTACTGCATACACATGCTCCTGCCTTTTTCGATCGGCATAGACTTTCTGTCTCTCCTGGACAGCCCGAATATGCTTCCGGATCTCCTCAACAGCCTCTGAAGTCCTACGAATGAACTCCGGACCCATGATCTTCCTCTCCCCACCCTCATCCCAATACAAGGGTGTTCGGACCTTTCGCCCGTACAAAGCCTCGTACGGGGCCATCTTGATCGAGGAGTGATAGCTGTTGTTGTAAGTCAACTCGACCAACTGGAGGGCAGTCTCTCAAGTTAGGCTCCGGTCCAAGACCACAGCCCTCAAAATATCCTCTAAGTACTGGATAGTCCGCTCTGACTGACCATCTGTCTGGGGATGGAAAGCTGTACTAAATGCCAACTTCGTCCCCATGGCTCGGTGCAAACTCTGCCAGAACTGACTCGTGAACTTCGGGTCTCGATCCGACACTATCTCCACGGGCACCCCGCGAAGTCGAACTATCTCGTCAACGAACAACTCGGCATACGCACTAGCCTTCAAAGTCGTCCGGACGGGCAGAAAGTGGGCGGACTTCGTGAGTCGATCCACGATCACCCATATAGAGTCGTGACCGGCCCTCGATCTCGGCAATCCCACCAAGAAGTCCATCGTGAGTCGCTCCCATTTCCACATGGGAATCTCAAGTGGCTGCAACAGCCCTCTCGGTTTTTGGTGCTCAGCCTTCACTTGCTGACACACTAAACAACCGTTCACGAATCGGCGACCACATTAGCTTTCCCGGGATGGTAGCTAATTATGCAATTGTAGTCCTTGACCAATTCAAGCCATCTCCTTTGGCGCATATTGAGCTCCTTCTGAGTAAAAATGTACTTCAGGCTCTTGTGATCGGTAAAGATCTCACACTTGCCTCCATAGAGGTAGTGCCGCCAAATCTTCAAGGCATGGACAACTACAGCTAACTCAAGATCGTGAGTGGGGTAGTTCTGCTCGTGAGGCTTCAACTGCCTCGAAGCATAGGCTACAACCTTCCCTTGCTGCATGAGACCACAACCCAAACCCATCTTCGAAGCATCACTATAGATGGTGAACTCCAAAGTAGGATCGGGTATCGAAAGGACTGGTGCGGTAGTAAGTCTCCTCTTCAGCTCTTGGAAACTACTCTCGCATTCCGGACTCCATACAAACCTCACAGACTTCTTCGTAAGGTTGGTTAGTGGCTGGGCTATCTTCGAGAAACCCTCGATGAATCTCCTATAGTATCCTGCTAACCCCAAGAAACTACGAAAATTTTTCCAAAATTGTTTAATCCCTCAAAAACCCAATCATACAGTTATTTCCCTAATTCCCAAAAACCAGAACCCCTCCACAATTACTGATTATAGACCAATAAGCCTCTGTACAATTACTTATAAAATCATATCAAAAATATTAGCTAATAGGTTAAAAAATGTCCTTAATTTTTGCATTTCCCCAAATCAATCTGCTTTAGTTAAAATAATGACGATTGGTCTATCAAGAGGATGACCATTGACGAGTACAAAATTAATCTATTACTATTCTAAAAGATAATTTATATGTCCTGCATTTCTCTTGAAGTAGCCCCCGATCTCAATTTCTTGGAATGCCTGAAATTGAATAAATATATGAAAAATAAATAATAAAATTTTTTTAATGAATAATTGTAGCTATTTTTGTATAAAGACGTACCATTATAGATTTGAGATACCACCGAGTTGGATGAAGCGACACCATCTTTCACATATTCTTGTAGATGGTGCATCTCAACTATAGAATTCATGTTTCATGAGAACCAGTTGACGGACAAAGCTTCATGACAAAAGAAAAAAAAATAAAAAATTATATAAAAAATGTTGTATTAATGTTATCTATCAAACACAAACAAAAATAACGATTACTTCTTTTGATGATTTTGATTTTTTGGAGTTCCTAGAAAGCTTTTCGACCCAACCATTTAGTCATTTTGTTCTTCTTCGCCCGTCCCTTTTTTTCAAACCTTTCATATTTTCAAGTTTGTCATCTATGTTGAATGAAGGAACTTCTTCATTTGCATTCTCATTTTTCGTTGTAAAAGCAAAAATTTGCTTATTAAATTCACTCACCATTTTCTCCATGCCATTGCTTGTCACTTCATGGGTGGAAGCTTGAAGTGTCATCCGTAAGAGTTGAGATTGAAGTCTTTGAACCCATTCCATAACATTCTCCACACTATTAGAATTTTCTTTGTACAAGTTTTGGGCAGTTTTCACTCCTTTTGTCCACCTGGCCAATATGTACTTTTGGGGAATGCACATCACGTCTTGGACAATAAATATTTTTGGGATATGGAAACACAATATTCCCATAATTTTAAATTTTCTACAACTACAAACAACCCAGTCTTTTGTAGGATCAAAGAGTACCTTCATCTCTTTCTCTCTTGACCCATGAAGACAAACCACGTACTCATTCAGACTTCGGGTGTCATCTTTTTCTTTCTATTATCACTCTTAAAGAAGCACGAAGTTCGATATGGAAAAGTGTAGATATTTTGGGAGTGTACAATTGTGAAACTTGCATGAACAACAAAGAATCATAAGATTCCAATGGAGGCAACTTTTGTCTCGTATCAAAGTCGACTTTAAGCTCTCGTTCTCTTTTTTCATCGACAACCCTGTCAAATTGTTTGAAAAAATCAGAAATATCCAAATCACATTTCAAGTAGGACTTCAAGTCACTATTCAAGCTCTCACTCAATTGTGTGCTACTTATTCCCAAGGTAAATGCATACTTCATATAACACTTGGCCCATTTTTCCTTTAAGTTGTACGTACCGAATAACTATTCATTATCGTGCAAATCATAACGATCAAGTAAATTTTTCCATTCCTTTTCAAAATCATCCTCTTCTAGATATTCAAACATGCACCTCTTGAACTCTGTTAAAAATGAAGAATCATCTTTCATACGCCAACCCAAATGTTTGATCCCATTTTGATTCAATTGCCACGTGCATAGCCCATGTCTTATATTTTTCAATACTTTTGCCAAAACATTCGCTATAGCTGCATCTTGATTCGTAAAAATCGTTTGAGGCTTTTTACCTCCATGAGCATTTAAAAAAGTTTCAAAAATCCAAGCAAATCGGCAGTCTCATCATACAAAAGTGCACTCCCAAAAATGACTATTTGCCCATGATGATTAAATCCCGTAAATACACCCAAGGACCTCAATTCTTTGTTTGTTCCATAGGTTGTGTCAAATGTAATTACATCACCAAAATCACCATAATCAACAATCATCCTAGAATCCGCCCAAAATATATTAGTGACCAGTTCGTCACTGTCAAATTCCATTGAACAAAAAAAATGAAGGGTCTTTACCTTTTCTCTGCTCAAAGTATCTTATATACCTCTAAACTCTCCGTACACCATGTATTTTTCTCTCTTCGACCGCAAAGAAGTCTTTTGGTCTTCCATTGTGTGTTCGAGCTTATCCTAACTCCCTGCTTCTCTAATCCTCAAGTGATGTGTTGCTTTTGGGGTGAGTCCTGCATCATGTTCCAAATCAATTGCGACAGCGGCAGCCTGAGTCATTTTCCTATGGGATCTCAACATGTGACTCATCTCTAGAGGCTCAAGTTCATGATTATGTTCTCGAACAAATTCTTTGATCTTGTATTTACCACTTGACCTCTCCAAAACTATATTTAATTTAGCCTTTCATGACGTTCTTTTATCCCATCGATGCACAACTTCTACCCTTCTTTTGTCTTCATCTCTTTTACCCTCTTTACGGCAAATGAAAACTGCATTATTATATGCTCCATCCTTTTGGCTTTTGTTGCGGTAATGTATTCTAACCCCAAATCCCATTGACTTCCCATAATTCCGCCAGAATTCCCATGCTTCATCAAGAGTATAAAAAATCATTCCAATTCTTGGTTCGTCGTTCTGACCGCCGTATGTCACATCTTCAGCCATCTCCTCATCAATACTAGAAAATTTTTCAAAAATCATGTCTTTCACACCATCCCCAGAGCTCAAATTACTCCTACATAAAAGTATATTATACACAAAAAATTTAGAAGCATAGAATCACATATTAACCAACATGAAAATAGAAGCAGAACCTAAGCCTAATTTTTCAATGTCTCGCCTCAAATGGGTGGGTATACAAATAAATATCCAAACCCAGTGTACACAAAATTATGTGATTTTACAGAACAAAGACCCATAAAAATTACATTACATAACATGTTATGAACAAAATGAACTTTAAGAGAAAATGTAACTTAGCATCAGTTAATAAGAAAATACACAAAGGAATCTAGTACATAACCCAATAGATCATACCCATTGTGGTCCAACATTTCTTAAACATTTAAAATAATCTTCATTCTATTAGCAATAACATGACCCATATCAAAACCAACTAAGAAAAATATGGAGAAGAAGAAAAAAGAACAAACACAAATATATATATTAAAAAAAAAATACTCAATAGACATTTTCTTTCTAGGTTCCATCTTTTTGCCAATATCTTATAAAAGTTCATATGTTCTAATTAGGCCCAACCATATTGATTTTGTTTTAAGATTTTTAATCTTCTGGAGAGAGTGAGGCTTCCATTTATGTGATTGTTTTTCCCACTCTACTATTGTCCCTCAATTGACTTATTAAGTTAAACTTATTTAATTTAATGTTTTATTTCTTATTTATTTTTAGCCATTAAATTGTCTTTTAATTAATTTTTTTAATTAATTTATGATCAAGAGTTGAAAAAGAGCTGTCGCAGATGCTGTTAGTTACCCACAGCATCCCGGGACCCAAGAGGCCAAGAACATGATGCTAGCAACTTGCAGAAAGTAAAGGAAAATATAATACAGGAAAATGAATAACTCAACAGTTTATTATTGACTTGGAAAAATGTCAATACTTTTGTCCCAACTGCAAAAACATTTCTAATTTTGTTGTTGCTGGGTTTTTAATTACCAGTTGCAAAAATCTTGAAAGATAAATTTGCGTTAAGAAATATGGAAAGAATCAAATCTTGCAGATTTGGCATAAAGATTCCATTTTTCCTATTGCAGCTCCTATGTACTGCGTTTTCTCGTTCGTTAGCTCCGGAATTTGATGGGTGATTGGCCATCCATGTTTGGATAAGTGGTAACTAAACGGTAATTCGAGCTCTGTGTGTGTGTGTGTGTGTGTCTTTATTTTCGGCCCCAAGCTCTCACATATTTAGTTTGTCGCTCTTCAAGAGAAGAATTTGCATATGGAATTTTAGCAATGACTTTTTGTTTTGATTTTATTGAGGTTTTCTTTATCGTATTTCATTTTTTTGTCCCATATACTGATTTTTGCAGCTTCAGTACATGTATAGTAGCTTTCGTGTCGGAATGCAGGGTGAGGAAACTACCACCCACTTTCAGTAAAATAATACAAGAAGATATTTATTTTTTTCTTGATTTGAAGTTGAAAAGTCAATGCTTTTCATCTGGCCGGCTGTAGAATATTTCAACAAGTTCTTGAGCTTCAGCTGCCACAAAAATGGATATCTCTGTTTCCGGTATTTGACCTGCGATTTTAAACTCACAGGTACAATTTCCTTTCCAGAAAGAAAAAGAAAAGAACCCAATTGTATTTAGCATCCAGTTTGCACTGTATGTATATACATCCATTCATTAACTACAAATAGCTTCACAGGTAAAATAGCTTATACTGCTCATGGAAAGTGAAATATCTCTGAAAGAGGAAGTTGAGAATCACGACGTGATTGTCGAGATTAACTCTCAAGAAAACCCTGGAATAAGCTCCCGTCTTGAGGAAAATATGGCAGATATATCAAGAGCCCAAATTAACCTTTTCCTAACAAACCCTGCACCCATAGTAGTCCCCACTCAAACTCCACCACCACCATCTCCAATCCAAACCATAGCTCCACCTCCCGACGCTTCTTCCAAGCCTCCGGTGCGGCGGAGGATGCTCGCCACGTCAGCTTACTCCAAGCCAAAGTCCCGAATTGCCGAGCCTCACTTTTCGACCAAAAAAGGCCCCGAGCAACAAAATGTTCCATCAAAATCCCCTGTAATGACCTCACCTAATCCCAATCCCAATAGCACACCCAAAAACGCGACCCCCAAAACATCAGCTCCAATCACGCCAAGAACGCCTCTAATGGAATCCATGGATGGTGATGATGATGATGATAATGATGAGGACGTGTACAAGACCGAGAATCTCAAGGTGGGCCAACCAAAGAAGGGCAAAAAAGTAAATATCATGATCGTGGCCGAGTGGGTCTTGTTCGTAAGCATAACAACCGTCTTGATTTTGAGCCGAACGGTTAACAAGCTGAAAGACACCGAAGTTTGGAGCTTGGGGCTCTGGAAATGGTGCGTGCTAGTGCTCGTCATCTTCTGCGGCCGCCTCTTCACGGAGTGGCTTATCAACACGCTTGTTTTCTTGATCGAGAAGAATTTCTTGCTCAAGAAGAAAGTCCTCTACTTCGTGTTCGGTTTGAAAAAGAGCGTGCGTGTCGTGATTTGGCTGGCCCTTATCCTTTTGGCTTGGGCCCTTATAATCAACCGTGGGGTTAGAAGAACAGAGAGTACTTCGAGAGTTTTGAATTACATAACTCGAGGCATTGTGTCGACTCTAGTTGGGGCAGTCATGTGGATGGCCAAGACTCTGTTTGTAAAAATCGTGGCTTCGTCTTTTCACGTGCGGACTTATTTCGACCGTATTCAGGAGTCGATTTTTCATCAGTACATACTTCAGGCGCTTTCGGGGGCACCACCTGCTGTGGAAGAGAAGGATGGGTCGAGATTGAGTGGGACTTTGAGTTTTATTAGAAAGGGGAATAATGGGGAGGTGATTAATGTGGACAAGCTTTATAAGATGAGACGGGAGAAAGTTTCAGCTTGGACGATGGGCGGTTTGATTAAGGTGATTAGGAATTCAGAGCTGCCGACTGTTTCTGAGGTGTTGGATGAGAGTGTGGAGGAGGAAGAGGGCTTCGGGGGCCCGAAAGTTATCACGAGTGAGGTCGAAGCTCGTGAGGCTGCTGATAGGATATTTAAGAATGTGGCAAAGCCTGGTCACAGGTGAGAAAATGACCTGTTTTTTGGTTTTTTGGTACCTCTTTGTGTGTGTGTGTGTTTTGAATTTGTTTTGAAATTAGGAAGGTGCATGTATGATTTTTTAGGTATATTGAGGAAGATGACCTCTTGCTGTTCATGCCAAAGGAGGAAGTTGATAGTGCTTTTCCGCTTTTCGAGGGAGCTACAGAATCCAGACGGATTAAGAGATCATCTTTCAGAATTTGGGTGGTGCGTTTTTTCTTTTCTTTTTTTTTTTTTAATGTCAATATTATTGCTTATATGAAGGAAGGTTATATGGTTGATGGTTGGTGTCTTCTCAATCAAGACATTATGCAATTTTTATGAAGTGGATTGAAGTTTTGGTGACTGTTGTGTGCAGTGCTCGAGTAAATTGGTTGATATTCAAATTTCAAGAATTTTAAAGTTCTGTATTTCATTCAGCTGAGGGTGGTTTTAATTATTGTTTTCATTTTCTTGCATAGGTAAAGGCTTATAACGAGCGAAAATGCCTTGCGGTGTCCCTAAAAGATGCCAAAACAGCGATAGAGGAACTAAACAAGATTGCCTCAGGAATTATACTCATTGTGATAATCATAGTGTGGTTACTCTTGATGGAGATCACAACTACAACTGTGTTGGTCTTCATTTCATCTCAATTGTTACTCGCGGTTTTCATATTCGGCAACACCGTTAAATCCGTGTTTGAAGCCATCATTTTTGTATTCATTGTGCACCCTTTTGATGTCGGTGACCGTTGTGTGATTGACGGTGTGCAGGTCAAATTCTTGAACCTCCAAACAAAATGTATTGTTCACCTTTTAGTTTATTTTCCTTGATTATTCTTCTAATTACCTTGCAGATGATAGTGGATGAGATGAATATTTTAACCACAATCTTTCTGAAAGCCGACAATGAAAAGGTTTACTACCCTAATTCAGTTTTAGCTACGAAAGCAATCAGCAATTTTAACCGGAGCCCGGAGATGATGGGTGATACTGTGGAGTTTGCGGTCGATTTTAACACGTCGGTTGAGAACATAGCTTCTTTGAAGGCTAAAATAAAGGGGTACGAGTCTCGTCTTAATTTTTACTTTTAATTTTGGCTTTTCATATTTTTCTATGATGTGAAAATGTGAAGACAATTTTGTTAGTTGATTGCAATGTTCATAGTTCTTACTATTGACAACGATTTATTTTCTTGAATTTCAAAACATCATGATCAGTCGAAATTAATGTTTGAGATGAGAAGTTTTTTCCGTCATTATGAAATTGGATCTTACTGAAAAAAAAAAATCATAAAATTTGCAGTGCCAACAATAATTATTCTAATTAAATTATACAATTAGAATCCAAGTTGGAAAAAATGTCACAATTTTTAAAATACATTGGACCAAAATTCGGAATCGACTGCCGTCAGGCTATTTTCCCTATTCTTCAACTCTACAATATAGACTAACTGCTCGTGAAAGATGTTTATTTTTTATTTTTTTATTTTTTTTTGGCTAAATCTTGAGGAACAATCTCATAAAATGGATTTCTACGTAAATCATCAACCTGAACTGCTACTAATATCTGTTTCTGATTTGTGTTTATGATGTTCAGATACTTGGAGAGTAAGCCTCAGCACTGGAGCCCGAGTCACAGCGTGCAAGTAAAGGAGATTGTAGATGTAAACAAGATGTTGATGGCCCTTTATGTGACCCACACAATCAATTTCCAAAATTCTGGGGAGAGAGGCGAACGAAGATCGGCTTTGGTGTTTGAGCTCAAGAAAATATTTGTGGAGCTCGACATTACTTACCGTCTTTTGCCTCAGGAAGTACAGATCAGCTATGTTGACAGGGGAATTTCTGTTACTGGCGCTGGTGAACGTCTTTGATTTTTTTTTTTTTTTTTTTTTTTTTGGAGAATTATTTTGTGCAGAGTCGAAAATAAGGTATTTTGTTTCATACTCGATTCTCTATTGTATCTTTCTTCTTTTCCAGCATGTGTTGAACATATTTTTACCTGTATATGATACAAGTGTGAATTTTGGTGACTAGCTTATTGCTAGGTAACATTTCTAATTTTTTGTCATGGCCTTTTTGAGTTGAGGGCAAGGCAACACTTGTAATTTTTACAAAAATCAATTATTTAGATGGATTGTGAATCAAATAAGATATTTGTTCAAATCACAACTTTAATTCTAAAAAGTTATCTACAATGCACAATGTGATCAAACATAATATTTTTCACTTGGCAAAAATAAAATAAAAAGAAAATTATGAATAAGAAACAAAAAAATTAAATAGTTAGATATTTTCAAAATGGTAATAATAATTTTTTTCCCATCTCTCAATGGTTGATGAGAATGTGAAAGAGAATATGGATGAATCACATTATTCTCTATATTGTATACATTAATTATGTCCACCTCATCACTACATTACTGATTACATTGTGCATTGTAGGATTAAAAGTGAAGACATTACTAAATTTGTTAATATAAAGTGCAATTTACTACAACTACATTTTACAGTTAGAGATACTCTTATTTCTGATGGTAATAGATTTAGGAAGTATCCAACCAAATGACAGATATAATCTCTGAAAAAATGCAGTTGCCAAAATATTGTTCGATTATACTTCACATGTTTTGTATTATTTGATTTATAAAAAAAAACTAGTATCCCAAACTATTATTCTCTCTACATTCATAATTATATTTTTGAGACTTGGTTTGGAGTGATGTTGACTTAAGCATCGAAGGCCGGACGTCGGGACCCCTCACAGCGTTGAGTTTTGCAAGTATGAAGGCCGTCCGAGTTGATGAAACTCGGCTGAACTCCATTTCACTACCAATCATCTTGTACCTCGACACTTAAGACTGGGTTCCGATGTGAAGTATAACTTATTTTTTGAATAAAGTTTTCCTCAAAAGTATAACGCGCATTTATCTAATTTTTTTTTCTTTTTTTTTTTTGTTGATACAATGAAGGAGGCCAAAGGCCTAGGCTAATACTCGACGGGTGTATGCCACCCCAATAATTATAATATAGTTTGCTACAAAACTAACTATTTTTCCTCACATATGTTCTTAACTACCCCTCTTTATTCTGTTACTTTTATTCTGATAACTTTTAATGTGTACATTTTTACTTTGTCGTCAAATTCAAGTTTAAATTGACATTTTCCCCGTCAATATATTTTTTGACAAGGAAATGAAAAAATTCAAAGAAGAGCATGATAAATTGTAGCTAATGGTAATGGGATAACCTTATCCACTCCACCACAAACCCGAGCAGAAGCTGCCACGTCGGATGGAAATTGAGATCCTCTCCCATTCTCCACCTCGCATTCTTCCCCTTTCTCATCTCTCACTATCCCTAAAATCTTCAATTAACAAAACCCTAACACCCAACTTCTCGTTCCACATCCAATCCAACAAGCTAATTCACAAAGAAAAAACATCAAACAGGCACCAATGGCCGCCACCACCGCCGTATCCATGGCGATGTCGCCGATCCAAGCCAGCCAGAAGAGGCTGCCGGCCGCGGACGCCTTCTTCAAGCCGCTGACCCTGCGGACATCCAGAGCATGTCCGGCGGGGTCGAGGACCGCCGGAAGGTTCGAGGTGAGGGCCTCCCTGAAGGAGAAGGCCGTCGCAGGGCTGACCGCCGCCGCGCTTACCTCGTCCATGGTGGTTCCCGACGTGGCGGAGGCGGCCAGCGGCGTCTCTCCGTCTCTGAAAAACTTCCTTCTGAGCATAGTGGCCGGAGGGGTCGTCGCCGCCGCTATCGTCGGCGCCGTGATTGGTGTATCCAATTTTGACCCCGTCAAGCGGAGCTGAGGACTTTAATTGTTTCCGTCTTTCTTATGGTGTTTTGATCTGTGTTGTGTCTCCGTCTGTGTATCTATCAAAAGTGCGTCCATGTATTTCTATTTACCGATGAATAGACGACTTTTCATTTCAATTTCACTCTTTTGCTGAAGGCTATCAATTCTTAAATAAATAAAATAAAATAAAATTGCACCATAAATTCACGCTATATAATAAAATGGCCATAATTTTTACTCATCTAATCTGAACACAAATTTTCTATTGATGTTTGAGATGAATCAAGTTATTGATGTAATTTCGTATAAACATGCATGAAGATCTGCAATCGAGAGCTGAACAAGTACAACTTGAATTTCGTGTTTGTGTTCAATTATGTCCCAAAAGGAATACATTAAAGCATATCTTCGGGAGAAGATGAAAGCAAAATGGGAAAATCTAATTTAAAGAGAAACAATAGACTTGCGGCTTGTACATGAAGTGAAAAGTGATTCAGGTTTATAACAAATGACCAATTTATACATGTACTATTTCTCGATTAATGCGTGTACTACTTTGCATGTTATTGACACGTTGAGGGATTTTTTGCAAATACATAAAATGTGTAAAAATACAAAAGGGTGACAACACTTTATCATCTAATACCGTGGATAATTTGTAGATTCAACTTGGAACAAAGATGCATATGGATATTTTGCAGATTCAACTTAAAACAAATATGCATATGAAAGCTGGTCCTCCAAGAGGTTTGGTTAAGATATTATACATACATACATATATATATATATATATATATATATATATATAGGGGATGGATCCAATGAGACCACTCTTTAAAATGAGTACGTGAGACTCAATCTTAGCCACTCATGTTGTCTAGATCAAAATTAACTAAAATATACATTAATTAAATAATAAAATAATTATTGGTTGACTCCGGCGTTGACCGTTGACTTCCGGCGTTGACTTTCGGCGAGAATTGTTGACTTTCGACGTTGACCCGTTGCATTGAAATAAATAACCTAGCACACAAAAGACACTCAACCTTGAGTGGTGTAGTGGTTACATTGCTTGTCTTGCTTCCATGAGGTACCAGGTTCAAAATGTTGGGATCTGTGAGGATCTCGTTATGTACAAATCACGAATTCAATAGCAAACGTAAACCTATGCGCAGCGGATCTAAAGGTTTGACGTAGAGAACTTACGGCTTAAAATTTATGTAGATCTGGTTGACCACGAACGGTTGACCGCAATTGATTGACCGCAACACGCGTCTTGGGTTGCACGAACAAGATCAGATCAAAACTGGATCAAACGGATGCAAACAGATCAAAACG